AAGTGCTACTTCCCATCATATTAACAGAAAAACAAATGTTTGAAAAAGTTTTTTCTTTTGTGTATGTTTCAGCATGTATAATAGGTAAAAGCTAGATTTTCTCTTTGATGTCAGATCGTCGAAAGCTCTACAAAATCTATATAAAGAAATCTCTATTAACTCTTTTAATTTCTTCGGAGAGTTTATTCAGTTGAAAAACATAATGCTTAGTTGATTATCGATGAACATTCCTGGTATCTATGTGGTTATATTGTAGCTTTTGGACATTCTATGATCTCGTTATAGGCTTTTGTTTTGAAATAAATGACCAATTTGTAAAGCATTTGTAACATTTCTGTCATACGCGATGCGGTGAGAAAGAGTAACATTACGTAGATCATCATTTTTCATTAGTTAGAAGAATTATAAAAGAGTTAATAGAGATTTCTTTATATAGATTTTGTAGAGCTTTCGACGATCTGACATCAAAGAGAAAATCTAGCTTTTACCTATTATACATGCTGAAACATACACAAAAGAAAAACCTTTTTCAAGCATTTTTTTTTCTGTTAACCCTTCGACGATGTCGTGGGGTCCACTTGGACCCACCTGACAGTTTTGCGTATAATACAACGTTACCATTTGGTGTTTCATATCAATCCTATTCTCTAATCTTTAGTCTTTAGTAGCTGCATAATATGCACGCGAGAAATTATATATAGGTCTAAGCAGGAAAAATTACAGGTATGGGTCCAGTTGGACCTTAGAACAACCACAGTGTTATAGACGTCATTTTTCGTTTTACTGTGGCTGTCATCTGTTGCCTCCCTATTGTTTCTTCAAATATATTTGTTTTGAGTCATTTTATGTTCATGATTAATAGTAATCATCACATTTTTTCCATATACAGTGTGAAGGGCGGATGTGGGTGTGGGACTGGGGGTGTGGGTGTGGGATTGGGGGTGTGAGTGTGGGATTGGGGGTGTGAGTGTGGGCAGTGGCGGCGCGAAGAGGTCAGAGCAGAAGGGGGGGGGGGGTACTCTCAGAATGAGAGAAAGGTGAAAAAGATTTTTTCATCGCGAGTGTCCATGAGTTTTTCAAAAAAAATTTCTGCTTCGGTTACCAACGAAATCAAAACTGAAAGGCAAAAAAAAAGAAACTCTTCAGTTCGGTTTTCAGGAGGATTTCGTACGTCATCAGCTAGTTTTCGAGCCGGAAGTTGGAGAAACTATAGGCGAAAATGGAAGAAAGTAAGGTCCAAAACGGGAGAAGGCGGAGTCCAAAACGGGAGAAGGCGGAGTCCAAAATGGAAGAAAGGGAGGCCCAAAATGGGAGAAAATACCACTTATTTTTTCCAAAAGCAGGGGGAGGTAGTCACCCCCAACCACACCCACACCCACACCCACACCCTAGGAGGCTAAAGCGATTGAGTACACCGTTTTTGGACTTATATTTGGATATTGTTATGAAAACACTTTCACGCCAGTTTTTTTGCCGCATTGTTTATCTTTATACGGTTTCCACGAAAGTTGATGCGTAAACGTCCATAAGCAGAATATGTAAAGACTTACAGTACACAAATAAATTGCTTAAATAAAACAAAAGTATTGGTTTTTTCAAAATTTCTATACATGGGTCCAGGCGGACCCTAGTACATCGATGAAGTTATAAAATGAGGACATCGTCGAAGGGTTAATATGATGGGAAGTAGCACTTTTTCAAGGTGTTTCCTTTTGACTATAGGAAAAATCATCTTTATATAGGGATAGGATTTGGTCCGGGCATTATTTGTAGAACTTTTCACGGCGCATCTTTTAAAAAAAAGATCAACATTATATCAATGAGCCTTGAGTAAAATATATGTAAAACAAAAAGTGTGCAAACATTTTGGGACACCCGGTATAACAAGTAACGCTCGTCCATGTGACTCGCTTGATCCTCGACTGAATATTCCGCTCTTCTGCTGTTCTATGCTGCTTTAAATTCTTCAACGAAGCTAGTATCCAACGTTTCAAAAGGATGGGTAGGTGTGTGGACGTTAAAATTGGCGTCAATCTCTTTGTGTATAATGGTATGCAAATCCGTGTGATAATTTTTGTCATAAATTGATCTAATCAAATTGATATCAACACATTGTTACTCAGGAGAAATCTAGATGAACTACACTACAGCGGCCGTATTCGCAAGCTCCCGAAACGAGAGATTATATTCAATTTTTTGAGGGATCACGAAGCAAAACGCGTTCGTGGTACCATTGTGAAAACATGCCATACTCCTCGAACATTCTACTAAAAATCCGTATGCTTACTAGCACATCGGCCGACAAGGTTGTTTGCTAGGCCATCGCTAGAAAAATACAAGTTCAGTTGAACTTCTAGCTTGAAATAAATTATATAAGATCTGATCTGTAATCTGAATATCATACTTGAAAGAAGCTCCTACTCGAGGTAGCCGCTGGACTCGACAGATGATTTGGATATACCCGTATATATTCCCGCATGTGAATGAACACAAAGAAGAGCATATACCAACAGAAAACTCCCTCTTATTTCATTCATATCTATTTTCGATCCAGCGAATATAAGTTCTTTCAGTGATGTTTTCTGTGAAATGTACTATTCAAATGTTGCATACGTGCAGAAAAGCAATTCTCACACTTTATTTAAATTATTTCTCAGTTCTTTACTACTGCTGGCCCCTATTGAAACCCATCAGATCTACACTGTTGCCACTTTCTTCCAGGGAATTTTCCAGTGCAGTGACTAGTCGCTCGTCGGCGCCCCTTCGAGGCGTCACTCGCGGTTAGCCGCTGCCACGTGTAATCCTATTGTCCCATAAGATCATCCTCTTTGATTTACACTCTGCCAAATTTCAGCCTGCTCTTACTTCGAAAAATAGTTAGATTTACAACATGAAAATTCTCGATGGGAGTCCAAAATCGGCACTTTGTTATGAACTATTCCTCATTTCCTCAACCTAATTGTCTAGCTGAAAAGTCATAGTTTTATTAGAATTCTTAATTAAGGGAATCTTAGTGCAGTGTTCTTAATAAACCTAGCTATCATATAGATCTTTTCCGGAGCGTATGAGGAATGCGCTTGCAATATCAGCGATTAGTCGTTCATCCGCGCTCCTACGAGGCGCCACTCATGGCTAATCGCTCCATTATTTGAATACTCTCTAAAAAAAAAGTTGTCATACTGAACCTTAAAAGGTTCTAGATTTGGGTACCATTTTCAGAACCTTTTAAGGTTCGAGCATAATCTGGTTCTATCTCGAACCTTTTCTTCTTTCTTTTAAAAATGATTCTAGTCAGCTAGAAACCAGTTCATTCGAGACCCCTTGTCTAGTGCTGCTGATTGATTCTACATCTAACGGCCTATTTCCATCCTTAGCCCATTGTTTCTACCCCCTAACCCTTATATCTATCCTTAACCCCTATTTCGATTCTTAACCTTATTCTTAACCCTATCCTTAACCTTATCCTTAACTCCTATTTCTATTCTTACCCTTATCCTTAACTATCTATTTCTATTCTTATCCTTTTCCTTACTCCTATCCTTAACTACCTATTTCTATCCTTAACCTTATCCTTAACTATCTGTTTCTATCCTTAACTCTATCCTTAACTTTATCCTTAACTATCTATTTCTATCCTTAACCTTATCCATAGCTACCTATTTCTATCCTCAACCTTATCCTTAACTACCTATTGCTATGCTTAACCTTATCCTTAACTATCTATTTCTACTCTTATCCTTATCGTTAAGCCTATCCTTAATCTTATCCTTAACTCCTATTTCTATTCTTAACCTTATCCTTATCCAGTGAAAAAATGTCAGATTATACCCGATTATATCAGATTATAATCCTATTTTTGTGCACCAAAATGAAAATGATAATCGATTGAAATCTTCTAAATTAACCATAGATTGATTTTAATCGAAAATAACTGTTCTTAATTTTTGATTAAAATCAATTTATGGTTAATTTAGAAGATTTCAATCGATTATCATTTTCATTTTGGTGCACAAAAATCGGAATATAATCTGACATTTTTTTCACTTGGTAACCCTAATCGGGTGTTCCAAAAGACTCTTTCAATTAATTTTTTTGCAAATGTTTGCAATTTTATCTAACTTGATCAACTATCTCTTTTTAAATGATAGGTAAGTGTACCAAATTTTATTGATACAACCAAACTTCGAAAGTACTCTTTAAACATGTGAAATTTAACCCAAATACAAAAATTGAATTTTTTTCTCTATTTCCAGCAAGACTTATAGGTGATATATGTTCTTAATTGCTTGAATTTTGACTTGATACCATTCAATTCGTTTTTGTGAAGACATATCAAAATAAAAGTCTATGAAAAGACTTTTCAACAGTTAGACGATTCAAAAATCCTCATTGCTCAATAGCTCGTAGGAATTAAAAAAGAAATATTGCATCATATTTTTTTGAAGTTTCGACAAAGATTTTATTTTTGCATTTCGGTTAAGGTTCACATCTTTGAACAGTCATTCTGATGTTTTTGTCGTATCGGTAAAAATTCATTTTATTTACCTATCATTTGAAAAAAACATAGTTAATCAAGTTAGATCAAATTGCAAATATATACGAAGAATTTAAGCGGAAGGGACTTTTGGGATACTCGATGCTTTTGCTCTTAACTCTTATATCTGACCTTAACCGCATAATTTGCTTTTTAATTCGTTAATTCTAATTGTAATCACTGAATTCTATTTGTAATCGCTTAATTCTACTTTTAATTCTTTATTTCTATCATTACCCATTAGTTATATATCTTACTTCTTTTTCTTTCTCT